AAGATGCATAAGTAAAAAATCAATGTTGTAATTTTGAACTTTAACACCTTCCAAATTAGCTGACAAGCCACATGTAGAAGTAGATGCTAAGCCTTTTTCCAATACTTTGACATAAGACTGATGAATATCCTGGAGTTGCACAAGACTGTCATGCAAACTTTCATAAAATTTCCTGGTCATTTTGAGAGGTCACCTGCCATTTACTTCTAAAAGTAATGCATATACCCTAAGATGTAGTTCCAATTCCATACCAGTTGTCATTTGATAGTAATCATATTCAACTCCACTTGCTATAATTTTTAAGGCATTTACCAATTGATCATTATCCAATGATGTGCCAAGTAATAGCAAAACGTTGTATAATTTAATGAGATGACCTCTTCTGTCCTGGTTGTTGGCAATTGACTCTAAATTAGTTGTTAATTGCTCGTTTAATCTAATGTTGCTCAGGGAAAGTAATCGTTCATCGTCACTCTCATTGTCACTTTCAAATGTAATGAAGTCTATTTCGGTGACATTTTCAACGTCTGCATCTTCACGCTGCTTTTCCTTCCCTTTGTTTTTGATACCTGAAGATGATTGCTGTCCAATCTCCTAATAATAATAATATCGTTTGTAGTTTTATTGTGAACATTGAAAAAGTTGTTAGAATTTATTCTAATACGAAAAAATATCTCTTGAATCGAAGCTTACCCAACTGTCTGCCGGCGATGAATGGTTGTAGTCCATGTCAAATACAAATTGCATTTGTATTTGGTTAAAGTAAGCAATAAGCCGAAATTCGTTTGTTATTATGCTTGTGTGATGTGACACAGTTGGGGTTGAAATGAACCAATCATTAGCCACCGAAAACGCATTTTGTAATATCTGAGAGATAATAGTCAATGTCTCTTCTTCAGTTAGTCTCACTTGCATTTACGCTCTTGCTTAGATTGCACACACACCTTGTCTCAATAGTCTACAAAGAAGGACATGTACTCTCATTAGTTTTACCATCCCTTATTATTATGAATTGATAAGGTGTCGTTTGAAAGTATACAACGTGGTACAAATAATACGAATAGCAAACTCTCGATGGGTTAATGTCAACAGAATGTACCGTCGCTTTTCTTTATATATATAACATTTGTTATATCTGCGGATAAGAAAAAAAATTAGTTATACTCATCGCTAATCGTCCTACCCATCATTCAGTCTATTGTACTATTTTGTCATAAAAATGATTACTGTGGGTGTAATCGCATATTTCATATCGTGTAGATATTAACAACAATTATGCGTTTATTTGTTATGTAATGATACTGTTATTGTGACTGTCATCATAATGTTATCACTGAACTTTTATCCTCTGTTTCATTATTATTATCTTCCCCTCTCGTTTACACACTAATCCATTGTTTAATCGTCTCTTTGGTCTTTCCCATAGGGTAGTTCTCTATAGGTAAAGCGTTTTTTTTCTTTGATTTCAATAGCCATGTCGTTTGAGCTTGTCGTTTTTGTGACGAGTGAATTTTTATCGGTTTGAACCCTAGGCTCTCGTTTTTGAGCAAAGCGTCTTAACGCTTGTACTAAGGGCTAAAATTCGCCCAAATATTAAAAAGTTATTTGGCATTTATAGCAGGCATTTTCGCCAAAACGACGAGTTACGTCACACATTACGTTATAGAGGTGCTCGTGATATATCGCGATTTTTCTTTTTGCTGCTGGTAGTAGTTATTGTCGCGGGTGGTATAGTCACGGCCAATGTTACTGTAACTCCGAACGCAAGCTAGAAATTTCCATTACTATTACGGGCACGTCACAGAATTTCCGCTGGACCCATGGATGGGAATTGTCAGTGCGCTTATTTTGTCCAGTAGCGGAAACAGATTATTCAAACTTCTTTTTATTAGTTCTGGTCGCACTGCTCTACTGTGGATTTCATGTAATTAATTTCATATCATTATACCATGTTTTTTATAGGGATAGCCGTATATTATAATAAATGTGAGAGTAGAAGGCATCTTGGATGGATACCTTTGTGTGCTTAACTACATGCGACAGTTGTGCTGAGATCCGAGAAAGGCATTCTTTGTTCGAAGAAACAATTTTTGAACCACTGGGGCCCGGCAGAAAGACCCTTAAAAAATGATGAGTGACCAAATAGCGAGCACCAACAATAATAGCGTTTCACTCTTCTTCCACCGTGTATCTCGGTAAAACCGATCCATCCGTCGTCTAAAACTATAAATTAGGCATCCATCAATAAGACCATCTCAACTCCGCGCTGCCGAGCCAGAGATCATAGGGTAAGATGAGTTACACGGTTATCCCTATATATTCATATGCCACGTGCCGCAGCAACCAAAACATTCGCGGTTGACGATCATTCTTAACAATTGAGAGTCCATGGAGCACATGTAAAGATGTGGACAACAGATCGAAGAAAAGCGGAAAATCTCAACAAAAGCAACAAAAGTTTAACTGGGCGCTACAAAGGAAGCGCAGCAAGAAGAAAAAAATCTAGTCACGGTATGTGTTTGACAACAACTCTTTCCGGCGAAACGCGACATGGCCGTCATCCCAATTCCCACAGAATCTGAAACCTCGTCCATTGCAGGTTTTCCAGTGAACGACGCAGACATGGCTGCCATTACCTGCCTGATTCTGGGCTATTCTTCACTCAAAGACACCTTTGATATTGAAATCGAAAAAGACTTCAAAATTAGCGACCTCAGGGACGAAATTCAAAAGGCCTTGGGGACTCGGTTTAAGATTGATGCCGCTGTCAACCAAATTGATCTTTGGCAAGTCTCAATTCCCCTTGACCAAAAAGACGACAAGTTTAAGATTCTTTGCGATGTCAATACCGGTACCAACAAAGAAGATATTGGTACAATCAAAACGAAACTCGGAATGGATGAAATGATGTCGGGTTCGAAGATTAACAAGGTCTTTCCTAATCTTCCTGAAGATCATATCCACATCATTGTCCACCTCTTATCAGGTAGGTAGCGTAACTTCACCGCTGCTCTTTTGTTTCTTGACCGTTCACTGACATTCTCTTTTCGTTGTGTCTATCGGCTCATTCAGCTTCCGTCCCCCCGGCTGCAAGTACTGGTGAGTGATTTATTTACGATGCCAGACCATATTCGTGGCGTTGATCGTCGATTACATACTGACCGCTATATGTGGCTTGTCGTTCGAGTGATTGTATCATGCTCATCCATTTTAGGGCCTAACTGGAACGATGCTGACTCGATCTATGCGTGGATACAAAGATACACGTTGACTCGCAGCCGAAGGCGGGTAATTTTTTGTTTCAGTTTGTCAACTTAATTTGTACTTTGTTTACTCGTTTTTTCCTTGGTTTGTCAGTTTTTCGATTTTCAGCCAGAGCCTGATTGATCTTTTCAGCTTGTTGGATCCTTCGGCAAAATCTTTGAGTTCCGTGGACGAGAAAGCACTATTAGCGCCCTCTGGGATGGCGACCCAAATTTGACCCGAAATGGAGTCCAGTCCAGATTTAAATACCGCAATGAAGCCGACAAGAAACTTCATTCCATTCCTGTCTTGGCTGGTGGGCCCGGAACAGGGAAGAGCAGATTCCTTGACGAGATTGAAGAGTTGCTTAGGCAACGCGCCAACAGCTCTAGTGATGATGAAATTAAGGACGCTTTCACAAATATGATTGTCATTAACACCACCTACGGAAATGGATCTGCAGCCGATGATAAAGATGTACAACTTGGCGCCAAGCCGTCTCTTGCGCTACGTATTCTATTCGAGTACTTCCGACCTCGGCATCAATATGGCGAGTTCTCATTTGACCAATTTCGTGGTGCCTGTGAGATCGGAAACATTTCGAGCTTTAATTTGGACACTGTGCTCAGGATTATCTATGCTGATTTCAAGCAATTGAAGAATCTGCAACGGGAACAAGCAACAACTTCTAATGAAGATACTGATAATGAAGATACTGATGGTCTGCTGGTCCTAGTTATTGGCATTGATGAGTTCAACAAATTGCATGACGTTGACAAGGAGACCTCCAAGAAACTCGTAAACGCCATTGGAGGAACAATGTGCGCATCACTTACAAACATTTTTTTCATCCCTATTCTGACCGGAACAATTGAAGGACCCTTGGAGCAATACATTACAAAGTCTATGCACAAACCACTTCGTCTCCCATTACATCTCCTTAAGGAAAAAGACGCGATCAAAATTGGCAAAGCTATCAACCTTGATGAGACCTACACACGCATCAATCAGTATTTTCAACTTTGCATTGGAGATATTGGAGGTCATGTTAGAACCTTGGAATATTTCTATGAACAATTTGCCCATTTTTTGCATATTACAGGTAATCCTTATGAGGTTCAACTCTCAGATATCATGAAGTTTGTCAAAGGCCAGATCCAGTATGACTACAAGTTAGTTGATTACTCAAAGTGGTTGACCAAAACTCTTGCAAAAGCTATATTGGGCTTACCAGTTTCAAAATCTGACAAGATTGATCTTGATGGGGAATACACCACCTATGAGGAGCTTAGTTCAAGGGGGATACTGACTCTAACCTTGTATAACATAGAAACTGGGGAATACCAGATCCAAATACCCTACATATGGGCAAGTGTACTTGTTCGTGCCTCCAAACAGCCTGAGATGGCCTTTTGGAAAGAGATGCTCAATTATGAAGAGCCAGTGCATTGGCAGAATTGGGAGGATTTTAATGCTCAATTCTGGGCACTGCGTCTCAACCTTTTCCGCTTAGCAGGTTATCAGAAAATCAAGTTGGAGGAACTTCTTAGAGGTGCTACCATTTCACGCAGCCTTCCGGATGTTAAAGTCATTCTTCCTGAAACATCCCAATTGTGCTGATTGAAACATCGATATCCAAAGGGTAAGCTCTATTAATTTTCTATGGTATGGAATCTATATCAAGAATTTATGAAGTGCTAATATGATGTAATTTTCAGCTAAAAATAAGAAAGAGGCTGAAGCAATGCAAGTTGATGATGAGGAGATGGATGATGAGGAGATGGATGGTGGTGACAATTATGAAGAGACTGATGAAGAGGTGGATGGCAATACCAAGACAGATGGTGACTTCAACAGGAAAAATGAATATCTCTTTGTTGAACGTTTCGAGGATGAGAGTATTAAGGATTACAAGAGCTGTATCTATGTCAACTCTCCTGGAGCACTCTGGAATGTCTTTGGGTTTAATGAGATGGAGTCTCCTAGTTCTGGACTCTTATGCATTGCTCTACAGATGAAGAAAACAGATCCTAAGAGTACAAAAAAAATGATTATCAATGATAAACTGTTCAAAAAGGAACTTAGAAAGGTAGCACTAGCTTCATTAGCATTTAATACACATATGTTCTAATTTTTGATTAATTGGTCCCACTATATAAGGTCTCGAAAGCTATGATGAAGATGAAAGTTCAAGAATGGGTTTTTTTAATCTTAACAAATGCAGAATCAAAGCACTTAAATGTAAAAGATAAAGAAAAGAGTGCACTTGTTGCTGATAATGAATTTGCTGAGTTCTATGGATATACGTACTCCAGTCGGGCACAGTTCGCATCAAGTATGTATGCAGATTTGAGGTCCATTTTTAATTGTGACTGGCTGACACAGATTTCTTTCCTTTTTTGTAGCACAACGAGAAATCAAAATCAATTCTGCACCTCCTGACGTAATTAAGAAATTCCTTGGCTTTAACAAGACCCAGACTTACAATTTATGCAAGAAACGTGTCCATGACAGTATCAAAAACCTTGATGATGTGTGTGAAATGACTGGGATAACCAAAAATTCTAAGAGGTTTAGATTGTTGAAAGACCTTTCAAAAAGAGGTTATATAATTTTTTCTGACCCCAACACACAAATGATTTGAAGCTGAAAAATGTAGTGGTATGTCAGATGTTATAAAGGAAATTGTATTGTCATTAGTGTTCCTTGCTGCCTTCCAATAAAGTAGAAAGTTTTCTGCCACCTGTACAATTCTCGAGTCATCAAAAGTGTGACTGCAATTGTGATTCCTAAATTTTTATTTTCTGGCATGCATCAATCTTTCATTACTAAAAGTCATAGCAATAAGTGAGTTGAGATGAGTACAAAATTTACTTTTTGCTGTTATGGTGATGGGAACTATAAATATCTGATGCTCACTTTGTCTGGTTTTGTTGCAGCATGCCCCAAATTAAAATAAAGCTGTTGCTCCTGTATCTCCAATTTGATTATAATGGAGATTCAAAGAAGTCAGAGAGGAATTTGATTCTAAAGCCTTTGCCAAAGTTGTTGCTCCTGTGCACCAATTTGATTATAATGGAGATCCAAAGAAGTCAGAGAGGAATTTGATTCTAAAGCCTTTGCTAAAGCTGTTGCTCCTGTATCTCCAATTCGATTATTATAGAGATTCAAAGAAGTCAGAGAGGAATTTGATTTTAAAATTTTTGCTAAAATCATGGCTCCAACTTTTCCAATTTGACATCCCATGAAATTTAATAGTAGTGAGTCTTAAATTTTATTCTGATAGTGTTGTGTTTCTAATTGATTAAACAGAGAAGACAGCTGTTTATAAAGAGTTCCATTTGATTGAATTTTTAATATTATAATAATGTCATCCAGTGCTTTGTTGTACTGGCAAAGATCTAGATAAATAGTTGCTCTTATGCCAAGAATTTAGTAATTGTAATTGAGGGAGATAATTTGTGAGCCTAATGTACTCCTATTATTTTCTGGCTGAATTTCTAATGACTTGTTGAAATCATTTAATGCATTATCATATTGTTTGAGTGCATAATAGATCTTTCCTCTTACTCTCAATGCAAGCAGATGATCTGGTTCAGCATTTAAAAATTCATTCAACTTACTCAATGCATTGCCATACTGATAAACATCAAATCTGATTACCTGTTCCATTAAGGTAAACATATCAATTGGATCCATTCCCAGTGATTTATCAAGATCATCCAATGCATAGTCATATTTCTCAAGCATGAGATAAGTATGCCCTCTTAGATGTTGTGCTGTTGTATCAGTTGGTTTAAATTGCAAAAATTTGTTGAGGTCTTTTAATGCATCCTCATATTGACAAAGATTAAAAAAGACAGCCCCCCTTGCAACTAACATGTCCACATCATTTGGTTCAATCTCCAATACCCTATTAAAATCACTTAATGCATTGCTGGAAAGCTTTTTTTTTCTTTGATTTCAATAGCCATGTCGTTTGAGCTTGTCAAATAATGCCTTATCGATTTTTTCTACACTCTTCGTTTTCTAATAGATAACCTCGTGCGCCGATTGATTACAGTCGTCTCCCATTTATGTTCTCACCTCGGAACAAAGACTTTTTCTGAAGTAGGAACCTTTCTTAATCACAGTCAATTATAATAACTGCACATTCTTAACACATACTAATACTGCCATTAATCACCACCACGTTTTTCAAGCTAACCAGATTGTACGTTCAAAAAGGCTACTTTAATTTACCATTTTAATCAATCGGAAACTCGATATTGCCAACTAAACATGACACGCCCTAGGATTTTGTCGAGCCAATATTCCTGGGAGAGCGGCGGAATACTGACCTTGAGATTTAACTCTTTTCAAACGGAACCTTTCGG